GACACCTAGCCCCGCCCCCAGGCCTCGGCGGAGGGAGGCCGCGAGCTCCGCCTCCCCTCGTCGGAGCCACCTCGCTTCCCCGCGCCCTCCGGGGACCGCGGCTCCGCAACCTGCAGGCCTCCGTGGCCTTCCCGGGAAGGCCAGGTTAGGGACGGGGAAGTGAGGTGACTCACGCCCCGACTGTGGCTCTGCGCTGAAGCTGAGTCACGGGCGAGGGGCGTCCGCACGTACACCCCCCGCGCGCGGCCCCTGCGGCCACGGGGGCTCGGGGCCGGAGTCAGCTCGGGAAAGCGGCAGTAGGTGGGAGCTGGGAAAGGCGGCGTTTGTCTCCTTCTGCTTTCCGTAGGCAGTGGACCGGCCGGGCCCGGAGCGCGGAACGCCGCTTTCCCCAACCTTTCAGCCGCCCCACCCCCGCCTGGGCAGGCCCGTTACTCTACCCGAGCCCGCCTCCGCCGTCGGGAGCAGGTCTAAGGACTGGCGGTGCTTTCCCGGCTGCGCTTCCACGGCCCCACTGGGCACCCTTTGTCCGAGGGAAATTGGCTTTTACCCCGCCCGTAGCTTTTGCGAAGTGTGGCTCCTGAGGTAGTAATATGATCTGCATCTGAAACACAGACCTGGGGAAAGAACTTAGGTGTCGCGGGAGACCCAGGCCAGTGTAGGTCGTTTTCCTGTACTGGTTGTGACGGAAGAGAAGAGCATGGGCGGAAATTAATGTCCACATGCAGCCCCGTGCTGTGCCAGGTGCTGTGCTACGTTGTCTGAGTCCAAACCGCAGCGCGGCGAGTCTGCCGGACAACTTGTTCTGTATTGAGGCAGCCCAGTGTCCTGTGCTGCGTCGCGGCCGGGGTTCTGTTGCTGGAGCCATGCCTCCGCTAAAGATGTATCTCTAAACCAAGAATGTAAGTGATGTGAATTATGTTTCTTCCCAGCCTTCAAGTAGTTATTAAAATAATTTAAACTGCCCTTGAAAGTTGAATCATCATTTTACCCTTACTTACTCTCCACCACCACCATTAACCAGTTTATACTTCTTCGTAATGCGACTAACATTTTCCCGTCTCTCGTTAGTACTCACATTCATTCATTCATTCATTCACCAAATTCTACGGGTTCATTCTGCCCAGGCTCTCTTAATTGTTCCCTCCCATGATCATTATTGCAGTTCCCCGTCCTGCTGTATAGTCGCCCCCTTCAGTACGTTCAACATACGGCTACCAAATGTTAGATAGCCAAGTAAGCACCCTAAAATATTTCATTTTCTTGGACATCTGGCTATTTACCCAGGAAAAGTCGTCCCTTGACTGTTTTTCAAGAGAAGTGAGTCATTATATCTTTCTGGTTTCCATTCTGCCCCTCTCTACTTGTGTTACCTTGGAAAATCACTTTACTTCTGGGCCCTACTTTTCACAACTGTAAAACAGAATGTGAACTAGATGTCTGAGATCCATCACATCCCTAAAATGTGTGGGTCTGGAGAGTTAAGATGCTAAACACTAAGTTATACATACACAGGAAGACTATCAATATCATAGACTCAGAATTTTGTTTTTGTTTTTCCGGGTTTTGTTGTTGCTGTTTTTTCAGCCATTCCATTGACTGTTTTTTCTTATTTCCTACTCTGCCCCCGATATCTTTTTTTTAAACCTACATTTAGGATATATTAAAGCTGGATAACAGCACATACATTCATTGCTGCTTCTTCCTGAGACCCCATTAAAATGCTTGGAATAAAAAAATCATACAAAATAGAAAATGGGAAGGGGGCCCCATAATTTTTTTTAAACTTGACACACCGAAAGTAAGTGCAGTCTGACTAAACAAAATGGAAAAAAACATAATGTGTAATAGGTACACAGGGTGCTGCTGGCAAAGAAGGGGCCTGTCTGCCAGAAGTGATCTAGAGAAACTGATATTTGAAGACACAAGACAGCAAGAGTGAGAAGCAGGGCTGAAAACAGGGAAACTAAGTAAAGGTTTGTATATGGAACAGCACAATAGCTAGGCATTTATCCCAGGCTGAAAATTAAGAGTTCTCAGTCTCTGGGGAGGAACCTGGGCAGCTATTTGGGCATTTATGACTAAGAGTAAAGCATTCTTCATTCTGACACAATAGCCCATTTCCTACTTACTCAACCTAGAGTGAACTTGTGCAAGTTGGCAAGACCCTGCTAAGTTCACAGCATTCCTAATCAGCATTCCAACTACCTCATTTAAATATGAGCAGACAACCGAGTTATTTAAGGGAAGTCTCCAACTTGAGGGGTGAGGAGAAGATAAACAGAAAATGTAACCACAGAGGAAACAGAAACATCAGAGAACTTAAAACTAATTAGTATGCTCATAGACCTTTATGACATTTATGAAACAAGAATAGTATACTCAGATGAAGAAACAATCCAAGAATAGAAAATAGGTCTTGAATTTAGAAATAAGAAATTGCCAAAAATTATACATTTACCTCAACTACTAAAAGATAAAGACATTTTAAAGAAAATGAAAAGTATGCAATTGCAATTTATTTTAATATTAAATTTATATACTACATATAATATATACAGTATATTAAATTTATTTTAAAGAAACAAAAATACACAAATTGCAAGAGAAAATATAAGAATTTGCAACAAAGTCCTTCATAAAGTACTCATGTCAATTATCAGATACCATGCCTACTCAGATATAAAGGCCAAACTTACTCAATACAGACATTTATTAAAAATTAAATATACTAAAATCTTCATTATCAGAGTACTGGAGTGAGAAAACAACACAAATTTGCAGCATTCTATGACACTTGAGGGTTGAGTTGCACAGAATGTAATATGTTACCCTGTGCCAGAATACTGTATTGCTGATAAAGTTCCTTACCTCACTGGAGCTCTGTGTTCTTCCAGATAGGAATAAAAAACACATGTCTTAATTTCTCACGTGTGTAAATTTAGGTGGCTATAGGCAAAAATAAAATTCCCAGATCTGTTTTCTAATTTTCTTTGAAAGTGTATCTGAAAAAACATTGGAATATGTAATAAAATTGCATCATGATAAAAAAAAAAAAAAGAAAATATGAGAGAAATAGTCAAACCAGCAGGATAAGAAAAAGAGAAGACAAAGTAAATAAAGGATGGAAAATTACCCCAAAGTAATGGAAGAAAATTTTCCAGAGCTGAAAGCATTCACTAGTGCAGGGCATAAACAGAAAAAAACAACCCTGTGAAATATTATAACTAACGATAAAGAGAAAATCCTAAATTTCCAAAAAGTGGCATTAGAATTCTTACCGGCAACCCTGGATAAGAGAAGATATAATAGACAAAGACCTTCAAGTTTCTTAGGGAAATATTTCTTGAACTTCAAATTCTTAGGAAAAAATTTTTACAAACTCTATTTCTGCTGAATTATCATTAAGTAAATGAGCAGAATGAAAACATATTCAGATATGCAGGGACTCAGAGAGAATTTGACTGAATAGTTAATTACTGTGATAGAAAGTTTAGAAAATGCTGTTTTCTGGTATTCAACTTTTAGATCCAACCTATTAATAGATTATAATCTTGCTATAGTTAAGGTGCAGTTTATAAATTGTATGAATGTCGACTCTACCCTAATTCCTACACACTAACTCCATATTCCCCTCCTCACGCCTCCACTCTCCAACTCCTCACACTGGCAACTACCCTGCTACTTTCTGTCTCTATGATTTTGGGAAGATGAAAAAGTTCTGGAGATGATGGTGGTGACGATTGCATATCAATGTGGATTTACTTAATGCCATACAACTGTACACTTAAAATGGTTAAAATGGTAAATTTTATGTTATGTCTATTTTACAATTAAACCATTTTTTTAATCTTTTGTACTTCAAGGGCAATGTTTTGGACTGAATTTTGTTCCTTCAAAGTTCCACGCCCTTTCCCAAAGGACAGGGTTCTGAGAGCTTCCAAGTTGATGAATACATGGAGATGCAGGGAAAGTGGTGCACCTGGAGAGATCAGGGAAGCTCTGCACCCTTTTCCCATTCTTTACCCTATGCAGCTCTTCCATCTGGCTTTCCTGAGTTATATCCTTTTGTAATAAACCAGTAATCTAGTAAGGGAAATGTTTCTTTGTGTTCTGTAAGCCACTATAGCAAATTAATTGGACCCAAGGAGGGGGTCATGAAAACCACTGATTTATAGTCAGTTGTTCAGAAGTACAGGTAACAACCTGTACTTATGATTGGCATCCTGAGTTGGAAGTGACCATTGGAGCCTACAATTAGTAGCCAGTTGGTCAGAAG